TCTCTCTCTCTCTCTCTCTCTCTCTCTACTGGATGGGTAATGGATATTTGAAACAGTGGATATGTGATTATTTTAGCTTTCTTTACTTTTCTGGCTCAATTTTGTTCTTAGGTTTTTGAAACGGGATTTTGAGAGGCTTTTGGTTTGCAGTATTTTAGATATTCTGTTCTTTGATTCAAATACTGCATAATTTCTTATATTTTCGCAGGGAATTGTGCAGTTTTCTCTGTAAGATTGAATTCTGAGATCTATGGTGTTAAATCTAATAACTGTCAATACAAAAATTTCCATGTTGTGTTATTTCATCTTTAGTAATTCTGATATTTTTGGAACTTCCTGTTCTGAATATATTGAACATCACTTGGTTTCTTCCTTTGGGATTATGGCAGCATTTGTCATACTAAATTTTGGAATTGTTGCTGTCAAAAGATGAAAGCTTGTAATTCATAGACAAAGTACAAAAAAGGATAGGCCTTGGGAATTTTGAAACAAAAGATATTACAGTTTGTAATTCATGGAACTTTGATTTGATAATATTTGTGGGAAGTCGTGATTCCTAAAGGAATATAGCTGGACTTGAACCCTCTAATCGGTAATTAGAGATATTGGATTCCAGTGGTTTTCCCGTACACTAATAATTGGAACTCTATTTCATAGTGGTTTAGAGAATCTCGTTCTTGATGTTGCTCCACTCGATGTTGAGTCCGTTTTACTTGTAGAGACTTTTCACCTCTGACAATGGACATATCATACTTGTCCTAACCAGATAGCTCTTCAGATTGAAGGGTTCTTTATTTTGATCCAAAAGTCACTCAAGGTTGTATTAAATTAATTAGACCTAAGCCAAACAACTGATCTGTGGAATTTAGCTAATTTGAGATTGGGCTGCCTATTATGATTGCCTCTAAAAGATCTTATTATGGAAATTTTATTTGAGTCAATAGCATCAGCAACGAGTTTTCTCCAGTACGATGCTTGAAACTTTGAAAACGTGGTTTTGTGTTTATGGAAATTCTTATTGTATGCTTTTGGATTATGTGTCCCTAATCGTTAGATTTGGACTTTGTGCAGACACATTATGTTCTGCTTCTGTCATCATTTAGAGAACAACTACAGCAACATGTGCGTGTTCATGCTATGGAAGCAGTCATGGCTTGCTGGGAGCTCGAGCAGTCGTTGCAAAGCTTGACAGGTTATGATTATCTCATTCCTTTCTCTCCAGTTGTGTCCCTATTAATGGTGCAATGATCTGTTTGTTTCCTTTGTTTTTATGCTAACTATTGGTGCAAATTGTGGTCTTGCAACTAATATGATTGAATGAGGCTGTTTCGCTATCCCGAGTCAATTTATTTCCTGTGGTACATTATTCTGTAACAGGTTGACTCTATTTTTTCCGTCTGATAGATTTCATGTCCAAATTCCATAACAGTATTGAACTTGCTTGCCATCACATCACTTGGTCAAGTTATTATGGTATTGTTGAAATATGTTGTTGAGCTAGTCTCACCAAACTCTTTGGGCATGTAATTTAATTTTCAAGGATGTTTTTAATTCTTTGGCCAGTGGGACCCTTTCGGTTGAAGGAAGTCGGTCTTTTAGTTCACTGAGTTCTTCTGTCCAGTTCTGTTTGGTATCTTTCTACTTAAGAGTGTCTTTTGATTCTATTTTGCAAACCCAGCTGGAGTGTATAGACAGTAGTCAACTTATTGAAGCTGGTATTATGATACAACTGAGAGTTTTTTAGTTATTTATATTTTTCTAAATTCTACTTTTCTTAACAATTTTATGAATATTTGTATGAAAATCTTCACTTCCTTCTCTTATTGGGTACCTCCGTTAAACGTCGAATTCAATTCATATCTTTCATCATCTTCTGAAAGAAAATGTCGACGATGCGTTTAACCACCAGAAAACCCCTACAAATCAGGCTACTCCTTTTGTTTCTGGCCAACACCCAAAACACTAATAGATGCTTGATATATACTGTTTAAAGTTTAAACTACTATAGCATGAAAATTTATTTCTTTCATAGTTTCAAGTGCCATCGACTAAAACTTGTCTTGACACTTTCAAGCTTACAATTCACAAAGACAATGTCATTTACCTCTAGCTCTAATTACTAACTACACCTGAGATGCATAGTTACCAGAAAAAAAAATAGTTCTCTTCTAAGTTTACATGCCCAACCTCATGGGGATCTGTAATTTTTAACCATAAACTTGTCTTGTTCATTTTTTGCCTTTATTAGAGACTACTCGGAGGGGTAATTCTGTAATAATAATTCTTATTTCCTTTAAATTATATATATTATGACCTTCATATGTGTCGGTCATTCCTCGTCGATTTCCAAAACAGGCATGCATGGGGATGATGCTATGCTTAATTAAATGCATGGATCTTACTGGACAATATATTTCGACAGGTGTGTCGCCAGGTGAAGGTACAGGGGCGACCATGTCCGATGATGACGAAGAGCAAGTAGAGAGTGAGAGCAACCTTTTTGATGAAACCCTGGACGGCCCTGACAGCATGGGATTCGGGCCCTTAGTACCAAGCGAGACCGAGAGGTCTTTGATGGAACGTGTGAGACAAGAATTGAAACACGAGCTCAAACAGGTGAATGCTTCTACACTTCACTGCCATGTCTCACCAATTTTTTTTTTTTTTT